CGTATGTTAATGGCATTTGTATTATGGTTTACACAGTGTTGGATATTTAGGACACCCACACACTCGTTTACGATGCTGATAATGCGTCACAATGACAAAGACAACAAACAAAAGCGTTAGCAAAAGGGACATTGCCATGAGAGCAAAACTTGAGAAGCCCTAAAAATACATCTTACACCATCCTGTCTGCCAAACGCACCATGATTTTAGCTGTATTTAATGGATGCCTTTGTTTATTTATTAATCTGGCCAATTTAATATCCCAAAAGTTACTGTGTTACTCCTCCTACATCCCTGAAAGACCTGCAGGAAGTTTGTTTTACACTTAATTTGCCCCTTTTGGGCCAGATTTACTAAACAGGGCAAATTAGCGTTATAGCACAATTCCATAAAAACACTGATGGGAGGGGAAAATTCAGCGGGTGATTTACTAACAATGTGCACATTAAAGAACACAGACGCAGCCAGTTAATTTCCATAATGACCAGTGCAATATAACAAGAGCAGTGCAAATTACCACCATTTTTTGGGCATTAAATAATGGCGCAAATACCAGTAATTTGACGAGCGCAAACGTTAGTAAATCGCATTGCATGATTCATTTTAATACTCTCCTCCCATAAATTTTAAGTCTGAAAGGTTAACTCCTACAAATGCATATTCAATAAGGTCAGGTGCAAAAATAACTGTCCACGCCTTTTCAGCGCTAATGCTTCACTGCTAATCTTTAGTAAATCCTGACAGTACTATTTTAACGCCAAAAGATGGTTTGTGCTGGCACAAGCTGTTAGTAAATATGGCCCTTACTGTACACTGTAATACAATTGTATGACACAATAAATACAGTGCCTTGCGAAAATATTCATACCCCTTCATTTTTTTCACATTTTGTTAAGTTGCTGCCTTATGCTAAACTGCTTTAAATTACTTTTTTCCCACATCAATCTACACTCCATACACCATAATGGTAAAGCAAAAAAAAGGTTTTTAACATCTTTGCAAATTTATTAAAAATAAAAACTTATTTATATAAGTTTTTAAGTATTTATATCCTTATCTGGGACAGTTGAAATTTAGCTCAGGAGCATTCATATTGCTTGTAGATGTTACTACACTTTGAGTGAAGTTAACCTGTGGCAAATTCAATGGAATGGGTATAATTTGGAAAGGCACACACCTCTTAATAAAAGGTCTAACAGCTGATAATGCATATCAGAGCAAAAACCAAGCCCTGGGGTCAAAAGAACTGTGTGTAGAGCTCAGAAACAGGTTTGTGTCAAGCCACACATCTGGGGAAGAGTTCAGAAAAAAATTCTGCTTCATTGAAGGTTTACAGAATCATGTAGCCTTCATTATCCACAATTGAAGATGTTTGAAACATCTAGAACTCTACTTAGAGCTGGCCTCCTGGCCAAACTGAGCAAC